ACGTGGAGGTAACATGAAGAGATAAGTTGCAGCAGTATGATCTTTTTAAATATAATAATTGACTTATGAAAATTGCATTGAGCTTTCAATTTTCATGTGATTCTTTTCTTTGATAGCATTCTTGAGTAACATGTTATGGGAAGTTTCCTATGACTAAGCCTATCCTTTATTTTCGCTTGCACGAGAAGAAAATTAAAATCAGACACAACAGGATGAAACCCACTTCACAGTCATTTCCACTGAAAATTTTTCAATAAGGGTGTTGCTGTGAAATAAGTGATGCTTCAGATGCAAAAGTGGTACTTCTTTATACGAAGAATGTGTGATGAAGAGCGGATAAAGAAGGGAGATCGTCCAATAATGGGTGGGGAAATGATTTTATTTTGCCTGGGGCGATGCCGAAGGCCAATAAAAAAAATTGCTGCTATCTTGAAAAGAGGGTGAGGCATTTCCATCCAAGTGTGGCCATGCAACCATAAAGAGTGCAGGACACCGTGGTATGCATTTTCACCTTACTTTCATGGTGATCATGCTCACCCCAGGGTGGCTGTCCAGTGACAAGGCATGCACTCCTTTAAGGGTGCGAGATCACACCTTTATTATTTGCTGTGTACCGTATCCGAACATTTTCCTCATCGGAAACAAAAGGCAGAACCACGTCATGTAATGCTCAATAAGATAACTTATTGAAATGGATGACGAACCTCAAGCTCAGCAGGAGGATTTAGTTTGTACCCAGCTGTCAGATCCTGCGAAGAGATAACATGGTGGAGAAAGGAAAAGAAAAAAAAGAAAGAAGAAAAATAAACAAGACTCACCATCCCCTTCAACATATTGATTAGAACTTCCTGGGAGAAGTGCTGTTGAGGTATCACCCCGTCGTTCTATTGACACAGAGAGAGAAACTAATCAGAGGGATCTCGAGCCCAAAGACATCAGACCAAACTTATAGTGAAAAAAATTGTATACCTGCGTGCCGACATGAAATAAAAGATCTTGTCCCATGAGAGGCACCTTATGGATGCTAAAAGGAATATTGGAAAGACAATGAGTTGCAACGACTGAGAGATTGCGCCAAGTATTAAACACAAACGCATTCTGTGCTTTTGTGAATACGTATTTTCTCGTTCATAACGATACTTAAGGACACAATTCATAATTGAAGGAAGAAGTGTATGACTCACTCATCTGGACTGTGTTGCTTACAAAGTTGGTTTGATTCAGGAATCATTTGTGGAGCCGTTGGATGTCTCTGGTACGAATCAGGAACATGAGGCATTGGAACAGGGAAATCGGGTTGAAATTGAGATATCTGATAATATGCTGGATTTTGCATGAAATAAGGATCATGGGTCCCGGAAACGGGAACTTGCTGGCTTGAAAATCCCGCTGGATGCAACGACAGTTCTTGTTGAGGGAATGACGTTCCACCGAATGATGTTGATTGACTCTGAATGTGGGCCTGATTTGCTAACATTTGCTGGTGTACGTTTGCAAGTGGCGCTTCTTGCTGCTGAGAATTGTTGAGGGGAGATTGATCTGGTCGTCGTGTTGGTCCATTGTCAAATAAAGGCAGAGCATTTGCTTGGTGCTGTCCAGCTTTTGGAGGTATTCCTTCAGCCTTCTGCATGCTTCCACAGCTAGTTTGCCTCGCTCGGCAGTCGAAAAAGTCAAAACGAAACTTCATTCTGGGTGTTCCGAGTTCACCATGTTATTTAGTATAAAAGGTCAATGAGTATGATGCTAAACTGATAATACAGATTTAGAGAAAGTCAAACCGAAAGTGAGAAAGGCTTCTAACAAGTGTGGCCCCAATTCTGATGATCGTCAGCGGCAGCAGAAGTTGGTACACCGAATGTCACCATGAGAACAATTTAAGTTTTATGAAATAAAATTTCATTTTCTGAAGTCTGAAGGATTAAGTATGATTCTGCTCATTTCCTCAATGAAAATACAGGACCTACATGACCTTAGATTGTCACTAATAACCTGATCTCTTTGGAAGCAATCTGAAGCACTGACTCCAGAAACACACACAATGTATTATGCGTTTCTCAGGCAAAATTACGCAAAAATTGCCTCACCACTCTGAATTTGAGTTTTGTTTTATGAGATTTTTAACTGATTTTAGTCGGTCAAACATTCCATTTCGAACATCTTTTCTTTACGTTGCAAATTAAGAGCAATATGCACGAATAACTGCACACGTACCCCTAAGATCCTACCAAAGACACTAAGAAGTACATATGGAATTGGAATAATGAATCAAGGAGAATAAAGAATAAAGGAACTACAAGATTCAACGTGGGAACTTCTCCATCACCCCACGTATACCTACAGTGTAAGAAGTGCGAAGGTGGCAAGACAGAGATGATGAAGTATATTCACTCTATTCCTGAGACAATGGAGAGAAGGAAGAAGCACAGACTGGAACTCCCTCTGCTTTTCCCTCATCTCATGGAAAATAGCTTCGACATGTCCTTCTATCTATGAGGGCAAAGATACGATGAGTTTGTCGACGTGTCTGCTTATCTTCTCCCTTTCAACATGCATTCATTCGATTAACCCACGGGCTTGCAAGTGAGTGGGCCATGAAGCTCACATCCTCAAAATGGCAGACATCGGTTTGTTTATTGGTGAGGATCGTGCTACGGCCTCTTTGAGGGTTCATGATCGCAAAAGGAACGGCCAAAAGAAGATATGGGATACTAAAGCAAAAGCGCGTGCACGCACGGGATATGTCGAATAGAAAGCATTTCTTGCACGCTTCGCTGCACTCTTCTCGTCAATATCATTGGCCCTGGAAACAGACTGTGAAACTGCATTTGGTGCAAGCCGTTCTGCTCGTTCATCGGCTGCCTGGAATGTGTCCCAGATTGGTTTATACAGTATTTCCCCTCCTCTTTCCTGGCATTTTCGGAGCAACACCAAACTTGAAAACAATAATGTACCTGTAGAGCCGATACTGAATGCTCTGAATGCAATTGAATTAAATGTGGAATTACAAGAAGCACGACGACGGGACCGGTGACATGACAAAACTGAAAAGATCATTGCCGGCAGTTTCCATGGCAAGAACGTCTGAAGCCGATCGTGCATCGTACTCTTATTGCTGTTAGTGAGCACTTTGCTCAGGAAGACATTCAATACAATGCTAATCTTTCATCGAAATTAGGTACAATTGCATCAAAATGTTGAGAAATAAGTATCGGTTCCGGGTCATAGGACTTCCATTGACACCTCAATCATGAAAATCTGTGCTTCTAGGAAAGTGTCCCGGGATGAAGCACTGACACACTGACAGATTAATCTCTTATTTACAGAATATGATGCCTCAACATCGCATTTCTTGAAGCTACTGCTCCGAAGCTAATGTGCTCCTTATCGGCCATATTCTGGATAGGAGTTATATGGAAGGCAAACCTCTTGTGAAAGAGCTGTCGTCACTCTTAAAATGACTTTTCTAGCCCTATATCAAGTAAAGCCGCCAAGTCAATGTCTTCCATGACTTTAAATTCTGGATAGTTCTCGGATTACCTTTCATGGGAATTTCAAGATCGACTCAAAGAATGATTATGAAATGATATTAGAGCCTGTGTCCCCTTTCAGTCATAGAATAGTCAATTTAATAAGTGAATAAGGCTGAGTACACTGGTGGTGTTTTATCAAATTGAAAGAGAAACAAAGACCGAGAAATATGTTTTTCTTTTTTTTCCTAGAGTAATATGCAACTTAAAGCAGTTGCAGAGATTGGAATATTCAATTTAGTCAAATGACAAAGAAAAATGTTTTCTTGAAAATATGAAACATACTCCGCGCAGCATTATTGGGAAAGCAACGTCAACTGAACATCTGAATTACCCTAACGAATAAATTATCCAGCAAACCAGATCATTTCTCATTTCACGTGTGTTCCTATGCACAAATTACGGCAGCAACATCTTTTAGCTGTTATTTTCCAGCATAGTTGAACATCGATTGTAAGTCGTATTCTCGAGTTTCTGAATGTCCCATTCCCCATTCGACTGGAGGATTTTAAAAGGTTCCAAACTCATTTCATAGTGTACAAAACATCCGAACATGGAGTAGCAAAACGTTGTATCACCTTGTGGAGAATCATCAACGAATACATGAGGCTCGTGGCTCAGTACAAATTAAATGGGACCACAATAACGAGGATGGGATTGTCAAGCTTCACGAAGACGCGGCATGAAAGGGCTAATAAAACCCTAGGGGACCCTTCCACTCAAATTTGCTTTCATAACCAAAGAGTAAATGGTCAACGCAAGATTTGGAAATCGACGTCCTTGCAGAACTCTATTAACGTGGCGTGGACTCCACCCGGAACGATCGATTAGGAGAGTGTGATTTCATGATAATTAGTGCAAGCTCTTTATACCACATTTTTAGAATAGAAACTACCACATCTGTCTATCAATCCATATTTGCCGTTCCCGATCTCCATGCGGTTTGTGATAATCAATACAGCCACGAGCCCATCGATACGCATCGACTTCAGTTCGTCTTTTGCAGATTTCATCCAAAACAAGACTTTCCATTCTCGAACACGGCAATATCTCACAGGATTTCGGCCGCAGTGAGACCATTTTCTGCATAGATAGGGTTGAATTGTGCTTCTACAGTGTCAGTCGTGAATAGGTTTAAGAGTAACTCAAAATGCTTCTTCCACTTTCCGATTCCGCTTAGGCGACCTCTCAATTTACGTCTTTGATGACCCGCAGGATACGTCACAGACCAGTCGGTTTATCGGAACACGTCGATAGAAATAAGGTACATTCCAATTTCTTTGCGTAATTTTTTTTCCACGACGCATGTTTCGCTTTGAACAAAAAGATAAAAACAATTATCGTCATGTCTTCTCATTTCAGCTTTCCACTAAGCAATCATTTAATGGGCGTCTGTTCATTCGTGACATTTCCAACTGGTATTGCACTTCGGATTCGTCAAGGGAATCCAGTCACATTTCTCGTGGCCGATACTCAAAGAATGTCCACGCAAGTTGTGTTTGCCCCATTAAGTATGACGTATTCACGAGGCACACATCCAATCCATTGTGGCAAACTCCAGGCAAACCCCACATATTCCCCACGTATGTCCCATTGCCGCAATATTTCCCCAATGGCATCCAAGGAAGAATGTGCTTGTGACATCACAATAATCCAGTGACCACTTTTGTCCAGTTTCCCATCCACGAAGAAGTTCTCCGTCCAGTCGGAGTCCAAATCGACATCCAGGAATACCACATCACTCATTTTCGCTTTGATTTTCTTCTCCATCTTCTCAACTTCTACCATTCTCACACTCGTGTGTGAATAGGCATTGATGAAAACGATACGAGGTGAATCCTTGTCCTTGTTCAATAGGGCGAGAAGCTCGTCTTTGCTCTTAACATGGCATCTCGGTGCCTGGCGAGAGAAAAGATTATATAAGACATTGTATATATCACCAACCATAAATCCACCCTTCAAACGTGCATTATATCTAGGCATTATATCTATTCATCTATCATGTTCACATCCTGATCGCGATGCGTGTCAATGTAGATATTCTTGAAAAGTCAGTGACTATTTTTTGAATGAAAATCACTTAGAAACATTTACTTGATTACTTGCAGTGTTCATGTATTTTGGAATATTGGCTTTTCCAGAAGCTTATCCATTCGGTGAAACTTTTTACATTCAATGCAGCGTCCATGTCTTATGATCGAAGGTTGAGTCAACAAATTGTTGTAATTGTAAAATATTTTGTACGCTAATGCAGTGAACTTGCATTCTTACATAGCATATTCAGGGCATCATGTTCATGTATTTTATTCGTGAATAAATCTGTCCTCCATGTGATGCGCTTTTATTGCATCAAGATTTCGATGCGAAAAAAAATCACGTTTCGAGGACAGATTTTTTTTCGCGACCAAAATGCGTTATTTTGATTTTGTACCCATGTATCCCGCATGTGATGCATCTCGGCCTCGTTTTTCTTAACATATCCATTCTACGCTGTCCTGAGAAGATGGGGGTAGAACTCCAGTCGGAAGACTTCGGGATATCGCTCGTCAGAATAGTACGTACGAACAGAATGTATTAATAGGTCGTCAACAGAAAGGTCGACGTTTTGATTCATACAATTCCCTTGACTGTGCCATCGTCGAAATAATCCAGATGCGGAGGTTCGAAAGGGAAAATGATGCATGTCATGAAATCAAAAAATTGAAAATTTGAAATGAAAAAAAAGTAATCTAATTTGTCATATCCCCCAGGTAAGAACATTTTCATTTTCTTTGGATAACTGCTCAAAGGCGATAGATGAGACTATCAAATATTCATTAAAACGCCCAAAGAGAAACATCAAAGGAGGATATATTACTAGGGGAAGTGACTAAGATTGAGAGAAGGCGCCGAAGCACCTATTCATTCAAGATGATAGTCTACGAAAACTCTGTCAGACGATGCTATTCTTGGAGTAATATAGACTTTTAACTTAGGAAGCTTATTCCACCATATTGCATCTCCGATACAAGAAACCAAATGCAAAAACCATATGGAACTGGACTCGTAAACTTTAAGAAGCGATGACGTCAGAATCCCTTCGAGACATGAGATAATCACACGGGCCGGAGGGAAGGTCGAAAGGCTAAAGGCCGAAAAGGCTAAGCACTCCAACGCGCTTGCATGAGAATCCTACGGTCAATGCCTTGCCCCGAGGGCTTATGAAGGGGACCTTCTTCTAAACGATGAAGTGGAAGATGGAGGTTGACATGCGTCTAGAGACGATGCGAGGCCACTCAATCCGCCCCTCTCGACTCTGCTATAGACGCATTTCGGTTTTGCAGGCGCCTTTAAGGTGGCACGGTACACTCAAGAAGTGACTGGTGTGAATCGGATATCCAGTTCATGCCTTTTCCTCTTGAAAAAAAGAAATCTTAATGCGAAAATTTACGAAAGTGGGTCATTATGATTTACCGATTCATTTGAGAGTGTTATTGTCCCTCATCCTCATACGGAAGACATTGGAAATGTAAAGTTCTTTATGCAGGCGAAGTTGCCTCTTTCTAAGCTCTACAGCGAAGACCCCATAACTCTGAAATAAGTTATTTTTTCAGAGAGTAAAACTGGGCTTTCCTTTTCGCCCAATAGCATCCTTGTACATAACTGGCTCTGGTTACATCATGATATTAATGTTATAAACTGAACACGGAAGGAAGCGCAATCAAGTTATCAATCTGCTCACATCCGGTTGGTTTTTACGGCTCATGACATCACAAAAGTCCAAGGAAATTATATCATTCTCAGCTAAAATTACTCCCCTGTCTGGGTGACTTGCGACGGGATTGACCATGAGGACATGGAGAGATTTTTAACCTTTTGGTGTCCACTCCTGGGATATGTCATGTTTGCGCTTTACTCTGACCCATGCCCGAAAAATCAATTTTTGTGCTTTCTCGTTACGATCCCTTCCTGTCTTGACCTGTAGCCAGATGCTGCTACTACATTTCAAATCATAGTTTTGGTGCGTATTGTGGTAACTTCTATCAGCGATTCAGGTGGCTTCTAATAAACATGGCTCGCCACAAGCTATCAAACGTGGAAATTGTTGAAGATTTGCCTAATTCCAAATCGGTTTTTGGCTAAAGTTAATGATTCAGTTGATTTCTTGTTTCCAAGGATTTCCTAAAAGTCATCATTTGATACAATTTTTAGCAGCAACAGTGAATACCATTCGTCGTTGCCGGAAGCTAAACGAAGGCGGAGTGGATTGCAGCCACGTGAGTGAAACAATGAAAATATTTTTCACCTAGTTGTCAGTCCATTCGACTCGACAAGCAGTGACGTGAGACCAGATGCAAATATTATTAAGAAATCGACAGAGCTAGAATTTTTAAAGGAACCTTTTCACCAGACCTGTGTGAAAAGTTGGCACAGAAGGTAAACTCTAATTGCGAGGAGATAAAAACAGCACCTGGTGTATCCCAGAGGGAGAAGAACTGGTTCTCTGGTTTCCCTCGTCTACTTTTGTCATAGCGATGTAATCTTTTACGACTCGGTCCGAAAGGTATGTGAATATTTCTCGTTAATCGCTTTTCAACTACTTCGAGAGATACGTTTGCATCAATTCATTGCAATGGACACTGAAAATACAAGCACTGTTTCAGTACTGCGAAGCATCTATACACGCCTTAGGAATATGAACATGAATGACTAGTAAAAAAAATTGAACGAGCTTGGGTGAAAATGTGTAAATGGGAATAGAAGCTCCAAAAATGTAAATGCAACATATTGAAATTAAGTCACAGTTTAAACTTCCCTGGTAGCTATGGAACCAACAGCACCATATCATGCAAACCAAGATACTGGCAACGGAAAACGTGTAAGAATTGTGAGCCACGAGTACCTGAGTTGAGTGTGATTGATGCATTCGATGTTCCATCGGTAGCGGAGTTCGGGGAGGTATCTCGTCGTCCTTTGGGTGGGCGTGCGAAGGTTTCACGTTAACACTAGCGAATTGTTGCTGCAACTCTTCGACCTAAGATGAAAAAGAACCTATAGCTTCCAATTGGCTTCAAGGAAATATCAATTAAGGTGCTGGAAGAGGTCTAATAATGTGGTACTTGAGCTCTGTATTTCTTGAGTTCTTTCTTGATCTTGCGTTTCTGTCGCGCTGTCTCTTCACGCAAAGACTGCTCCCTCTTCAGCTGCTCCTCGAGTTCTCTTTTCTCATTCTCAGAGGCTGAATTCAACAGTTTCTGCTGCAGATCTTCTACCTGCATTAACGAGTCAATCCTTGCTTCTGACACAACATAAACATGTTATCCTTGTCGTAAGAGAATGAAATGGAGTTAAATACCTGCGCTCTACTTTCCTTGAGCTCTCTCTTGATCACGCGTTTCTTCCGCTCTGCCTCTTGACGCGCGAGCTGCTCCTTCTCGAGTTGCTTCTTCAGTTCTTTCTTCTTGGTCTTATGCTTCACTTTCATCTCCTTCTGCTTAGCCAATGCCTTTGACATCTCCTCCATCCGAGCTTTCATTGCCATGTTCTCGTTCACCAGCTAAACCAGTCAACAGTTATGGATTTGGATTTTAAGATTTGACAATATAGTTTCTGCCAAGTTATATGTAGAATTGTTTCATTTTTGCTGAGTCGAGTTAACTCAATTCCGTGAACTTACTGGTCCTTGTGATAAGAAATATATCCCTATAAGATTTGTTATATCGTATGTGCAAATGCTCTTTCCCTTCTGTGATTATCTTCCCACGAATTTCCGAGCTTTCCATAGGTCGAAATATTGTGCTACAGGAGTGATGTCGTGATAAGACTCATATAATTGTATTAAAGTTCCTAAAAGAGCAATGACTTGGAGAATGAATCTCGAAAGTAACCTCCCTTGTCGAAAATGGCGTCGAGAAATCTGCCATAGGAGAAATAGAGAGTTGCGCGGCAATGCAAAGGGGCTTAAAGGAGTTCTGATAGGTTTCAAGAACATCTTTTCGAAGAATCTGTTTTTCTCATGGTTTGGATATCTTCTCTTCACTTCCTGCAGATGAATCATTTATATAAATATTTTTTTATTCCTATCACAGTCCGCTTGCATCATCTTTCGCCCTTAGGAGGGCTGAAGACCATTGGCTATGGCAATATTTAGGAATAAATTATTTCCCAGGCGGAAAATTGCTAGAAATCTTGTCCTATTTGATGGATTTCGCTAGGATTGAGTAAGGCATAGGTTAACGTGATGTCCCGCCAATGCCAGGGAGCGAGTTAGTTTCGCTTGACTATTTTGCAATGCTTTAAAAATTATTAATACTTTCCTGGAGGTATGATTCCAGATTTGAAATGGGTGTTTATCCCCATATCTTCATCTCATAGCGAACTGCTCTAACTGTATTACAGAAATTTGGACTCACTTTTCGCAAATACTTTCTTATCACAGATTGCGTTTCAACTAGGCGAGGAAATATTGCACAATTAGGTCCAATGTCATCCTCAGCGTCTATCCTAACTGTCCTTCCTCATTTGTTTCTCCGAGACCTACAGTATCACAACTCCCCTCCTATACTACCCCTCCCTCCCTGCAGCATCTTTCTCACTTCCTACCTACAGCCCCCCCCCCTCCACACACACACACACAAGGACACAAGTACGCATTTTCAACAGCCTCCGACGCTTTTCATCACCTAAATACACGTTCTGAAAGGTTTCCGATTTCTAAAACGGATGACTCACTGGCTTTCGTCTATGATGAGACATAAACAGGCTGAGATATGGGGATAAAGACAAAACACATAATGATGAAAATAAAACCCACCTTCTTTTCCTTCTCCTTGAAGTCATCTTGCAGCTGCTGCAGCAACTAGAGTGAAGAGAAACATATTTGCATCATGAAGTTATTTGCTAAGAGGAAGCATATAATGACTGCACATGCAGAACCATCGCGATTCACTGCATGGCAAATATTAAGTCTTGGAATCGTGGGGAGGCAAATCTAAGCAATCTGCGAAAAAGATCAAAGTTCAATTCTATTTGGAATCTTTTGCAGGTAAAAATCGTTGCAAGCCGCCTAACAGGTCAGAGTCACGGTCTTTCATAGCAGAGAAACCTCTCGAAATTGCTTATCCACTTAAAAAAAATATATATATTTGGGAACAATAATATTGCCAAATATTACAATGCCAAATATTACAATAGAATGTTGTAGTGGACCTATCTCTATTTAGCAGTGTTCATCAGATACTGAAAAGTTGCGAATTCAACAAAATCCTCGAAACGAATTTGGCTTACGTATTTTTTCTTACCTTGGCAGAGGGAAGGCCGTTTGAGGAACGCGCTACAGAACAAATCACTGAAAGGAATTGAATATATTGACCAATAAAACGAGGGACATGAAGAGATAAATCCTTAGGAGAGGCAATGAGGACTAATCATGATAGCATGATAATCCTTAGTGCAACCAGAGTCTAATTCATCGGGCGGGCCAAGGAAAGGATCTAAAATGAATATAAAAATGTATAAGTGACTAGAGGAGGGTGCAGTAAGTGAGTGCTCTGCCAGCTTGACGAGTGGGAAAGGCAAGGTAAGAGAGGGAAGCAAATTAAGTGATTAGGTAGGAAACCGTACCAAGTCGATATTTTGAGAGTGCTGTTCGGCTGGGGTAGGGATTCCATCAGGATTCTGCATGTTCACCAATTCCAGAATAAGAATTCCACAAGTTGAATTGCTGCAAATATTAAGATGAAATGCATGTTACCCTTAAGCAGTACTTCTTAAATAAATCTTATTTAGCATGCCTTTAAATGCTGCTTGGAAAGTCTGCCATAGGATCTAAAGGAATATGATACCACAAATTCTGGGATTTAGCATATGAAATAAAGAAGGAGAAAGAGAGAAAGAGAGAAAGAGAGAGATAGAGAGAGATAGGGGATGAAACTTACATGTGAGTTATGAAAGGAAGGCAGGGTGAAGAACGTTCACTCTCGTCCTGTAACAGACGAACAAAAGCAGGCGGATCCTCCTGCTTCTCTTATTGGGTGCACATTGAGCTTAGAGGCAGTAAATCCGTCTATCTAACGTACATCCCTGGCTGAGAAGGCACTTAAATTCTCTTTATCGGAGGTTAGATACCAGAAATTCCTCGATGTGTCCGTGCTTCCTGCGTTCGGCATATCGTCAGCATGAGGCATACAACTTGACTTGATTCATTCGTTCCGGGTCTCAGGTCATCTAATAATTATTGTATCACATGTCTAAGCGATGAGTAATTGGTGGGCTTGCGAAAATGGCAGATAGTGGTACACACACATACTATAGGATCCATGAACGTATTGCGGCTGTTGTGCGGTACATAGTCACAAAACCAGCAATCCCATAAATAATTGCTTTTACAGAGCCCAACAGCGAGATGGTGGGCTCTGTTAAAGCAAAAGTCTTCAAAGTCTGACTTTAAGGCAGGGTTGTAAAGGCGCCGGCTTTCTCCCTTGCGATTGATGAGAAGTCGTGCAAGAGACCCACCCTTCGTGAATGCATGACGTTCGTGGCTGTGCCAAGTGATGGTGCTTGGTCTCTTTTCAAAACAAGTCCTAAATTGGATGTTCAAGTGGGTATTTAGAAAAAAAAAGCTCTTGGGAATGTAAAAAGCACAAAGTCGGCCTCTTTCCCTTCAAGTCTGTAAGCTTGAAGAAGCGACCATTGTATAGGCGTTGGCATTAGAGAGAGGTCACACTGCGAAAATTCCAAATGTACTCAAATGCGTAAAGGTTTATTGGTGTGCTGCTTTTGATCATCATTTTCCTCTTCTTGTTGAACCTCCCGAAGGACATTAGTTAATGGTTGAACTCAACGCTTTTCAGGGAGGTTCATGGCAGGTTCAAGGAAATAAATGTATCCCCACCAACAGAACGTCGGAAATGCAGGGTGATCCATAAAAATACGACGATTTTACGTAGGAGATATACAGGTTTAATAGCTAACGATGTTAATTTTTTCCCAAATGGTACAATAAGGATGGGAGTTTGTCCGTAAGTGTTTTTTACTTTTTGAAAATCACATCAGACAAGCGAGCGCCACCTTTGTCCACACATTCATGTAAGAGCGCAACGAAACTGCTGCGTATTGTGCGCTCCAGCATGGCAACAGGAATTGCAGCAATCTCCTGTCGGTACGCGTCTCCAGCTCTTCCAATGTTGTTGATCGTGTGTCGTACACTTTCCCTTTGAGATACCCCCTAAGAAAGAAATCGGATGCAGTTAGGTAGGGTGAACAATGGAGCCAATGGATGTCGCCGAAACGAGAGATGATATGCGCCAGAAACAGGACGCGAAGTTTGGCCATGGAAATTCGTGCTGTATGGGGCGTGGCCCCATCCTGCTGGTACCAGACGACAGGCCGTTCACGTCGCTGCAGTTCCGGTCCATAAAGTTCAGAAATATGTCCAGGTAGTGCCGTGCCGTTACGGTGCGTGTTTCCCCCGCCGCATCTTTGAAGAAGAATGGCCGATGATGCTGGTGATGGTCGCCCCACACCACACCGTTATTTTCTGACTGTGAAGTTCCTGTGCAGTTCCATAGGATTACGATCTCCCAAAAAGCGAAAGTTCTGTTTGTTGACAGAACCTGACAAGAGGAAGTGCGCCTCATCAGACATCAATAAGTCGTCCACAATGGCTTGGTCATTCGCCTACATTTCCAGAAAGGGTTCTGTAAAAAGTACACGTGCAGTCTTATCGGCATCTGTTAGCTCTTGCACAACTTGAATTTTAGACGCTCGTAAGAGTAGGTCACGCCTAAGAATGCGCTGGAAGCTACAACAGGACAAGGCCATCGCCTGTGAACGTCGCCGGATGGACCTTCTCGGGCTGCTCGTCACGGCTTCAATCACACGTTCAATGTTTTCTGGTGTGCGCACTGAAACTGGTCTTCCTGTTGGTTCGGGATCCCTGACGGATCTGTCTGTACGCCACTTGCGTACTCATCGCTGAATAGAGTCATTTGTCGGAGCCCCCCTTCGCTTGGTAATGCGGTGGAACTCGCGTCTGGTTACATCAAATGAGAATGTTCGCAAATACATCTCCACATTGCGGATCCTGTCTTGATCCAGTCATGGACCAACGCTCCATGACTGACTAATCTCCCACATGTGGCTAACACCCCCAGGTAGTCACACGCAGCGCCGCCTCCTTGGCGCGCCCGTACTCGCAAATTCAAGTCGTCGTATTTTTATGGATCGCCCTGTACATATTTGTACATTTCTTTTGTCAGAATAGGATCCACCTGGTAGTTATGCGAACAAATATGGTTCTCGTAACTGAAATGCAATCACACCCCAATCGCCGATGAAGTGAGCCCTTCACGATTTCGTAGGAACAAGTCCTTAGTACTTTTCATACAGCATTCGACAAGTTCCCATCGAAAACTTGGAGGAAGACATTGCAATTCTGTAATAAATGCTATATAATGGTGACTCAGTCTCAGAGGACCCCAGGCTGGGAGGCCACGGATTTCTGGCTTAGAGGATGAAGGAAGGATGGTTCAACTACCGAGCTGACTCCGTGGCGCAACCATGAAGATGACGTTATAAGGTGTCTTCGTCGTATGTCTCTGTCTGGATGTTGCCCTACTCCTCAAGAGGAAGTAGATCCGAATGTGGTGGTAGAGGGCCCCCAAAGAATCTTATCTAATCTTACCTTATCAGCAAGTCCTTACCTTACACGTGGCTTTAAATCTGGAGCTGGAAAGCAACCAGTAATTCCGAGTGGCCCAAAAAAAGTCAGAACTCTGCATGCCTGCAGATGCAATACCATATGAGTCATCGAAAGTAAATTTACAGGGCTTTGCCTCTAACATTTTCCGGTAATGACAATAGAATTTCAATGAATTTAGTAGTTAACTGCCTGAATTGCAATTTTCTTTCGCGCGATGTCAAAAGTGCGAATGTGTAAAGAAGCACAACTGATCTAAATTAAAATGATGTTTGATGGGTCCTCCATTCTGGTCCACGACTGCCCCCGCAGACGCCGTTTCCATTCTGTGATTGACTTTCTTATTGTGTTGTCATCGACAAGAGGCCACCCTTCCTTAATTCGAGCCTTCAATTCTTCTAGTGATGTAAAAAGGGTGTTGCGTCCAGCATAAACTAGCTCCTTCAATTCGTTCCATGTGCTGTAGCCGAGGGGGTTTAGCTCAGGAGAATTGGGAGGCCACTGATTTTCTCGGATGAACGCAGGAGTGTTATACTTCAAATACTCCTGCACAAGTTTGGCACGATGTGAAGGAGTACTATCCTGCGTGAATAAGCAGTCGTGATTTTGGTACAACTGTCTGCATCGAGGGAGAAGATTGTTCTTTAGGAGTTCCTGGTATTTCTCTTATTTTACCATCAATCGCTGTCGATCCACAATCTCCGTCTTTCCTTACCTAATAATTACCTAATGCTTGCGAGTCTCCTTTTCTGAATGATGGGGCTTATCCTCGAAAATAAGGACCTGATTTGTTTGCTTTCGAACCCTGGTCCTCTTTCATGGGAGCCAATAAAGATACCAACTGAGTCACTCCACAGCCCATTGATAAGGACTCACCTGCGTGAGTTCACAAGGATACACTTTCCTAAACTTGTCATTGGAATGATTCACGTGCATTAGGCCGATTGCATGTAATCTGATTAATCGTGCGAGAAGGGACGTGATTTCGGAATAAATATCTCCTTTTTGATCATTGCTTACTTTAAAACATGTGGGATCATGCTGTCGGGTGGGGAAATGGTGCACGTGAGTGAAAGAAAAACTCTTTACTAATAAGAATATAAAATCTCATTTTATTGCATTCCTTAATCAGAATAAATTACGAAAATACTTGAAATGTTAATCAATTCTACTTCATGCTCTCGTCCCTCACTATTGTACAGTTTCATTTCTTCAGTAAGTGCCATGCCAATTGGTACCAAATAATGGCACCAGAACCAGGTATCAAAGCAATAGTACGGAAACGCGATTGACCCCACTGTTTTGTTCCCCGATTAAGAACCAAATTTGGTGCCGAAAGCCAAATTTTTGGAATCCAAAATTTAGGGTCGGAAATAAGTTTGTCAATTTCATACAAATCATCGGATGTTTGCGACATCGCAGCAATCCAATAGTCACCTTTTTTGTTCTCTTCTATGCCAAAGAAGTCGACAGCCCAGTCCTCATCCAAATTTGCATCAAGGAAAGTCCAAATCCTCTTCCAGTGACTCATTTTCTCGGCAATTCTGCTCTCGATCTCTTCCACGTCGCCCGTCTTCACGTTTGTGTGCGAATAAACGTGACTTACAACAAGATCTTGTTTGCTCAACTTCCTTAACCAAGTGAACAGATCTGCCTTGGTCTGGACTCGACATCTGGGCGTCTGGTGTGTGGGCATCTGATCAGAGATAAAGAAAATATAAAATGTGAGTGAATCCCCAATGTTGATCAGTGCCTACCTATAGTCATCTTTCTGGATAAACTTTTCATTTGAATCGGTTCACCATTCTAGTCTTACAGATGGATAGCACATTTATTTCCCCAACCCTTTTCTCCTTCTTTCCACTTCCATATATCCCCTTAAATTTATTAACACGCCAGGAAAAACCCTGCTGGAAATCATAATGCAGTGTTGTATCATATTTTTCGTCGACTCGTCAGAGCGTCACTAAATTTTTTCCCTTAATATGTTAAGTGTTCGATGTCGTTTTATCAAAATTTTTCTTCTAAATGAACAACAATAGCAACATGTGGCATAATTTGGCAACCTTGATTGACATTCCATCATTCCAGTTATGATCCTCTCCCGCTCGGAATTTGCTATTACCTATTATTTTCCCTTGGAATGGGATGGATATGAATTGCAGTACATGAAATCCCGAAACGCATATCCTCTACGTAAACAACAATTACACCGTTACAAAATGCCCACCTGCCAGGTGAATGTCCTCTTAGGCGTATTTCCTTTGGTTGCAGCAATGTCCACTAGTTTTAAAGATCAGGGGGAACATCCACCTGGCTCGAGAAGCACGTGCGCTAACTGCCAGGTGGACTTCCGTCGAGTTTGACATCCACCTAGTTCCAAATCTTCCTCTTACACACCTGGTTGTTCACCCAAGTAAATGCAGGTGGACGTTTTCTATGGCAGTCGTCCGTGGGACCTAACATTTAGCAAAACTTTGAAAACATCGGTGCATCGACCTGAAGCATACTGCGCACATGGTATCGTGAAAACCATGGACAAATATGTTGTGAAAATTCACAAGGAATAAATATTCCCTCTTTACGCATCAATTTGCAGTTCATCTCATTCTTCTCTAATCTCAATCCTGCAGCAGCAAGGATAAATCCTTCCAATCCCCTGTGACTGAACGTACAGACTTTGGTTTAGTAATTCAGGATTTCTGCATTCCTATGAAAAGACTTTCCAAATATCGAGATTGAAAAAATCGGAATGTTTAAGTTAACTGAAGATGATAACACAGAAATAGGCTCCCGAATACGGAATCAGGAAAGGGATCAGCATCACAAATTCATGCAGGATAAGTTCCATAGAAATAATTGTAGAGACTTTTTCCATCAATACCCAAGTTAGCTGCCACGGGAACAGCTCATCTTTCATCGGCATCTGAGCCTGAGAGACCGTGTCGATGTTCCATCCCCTGGCTTGTGGAAGCTCCGTCTTTCCCACGTCTAACTGCCTTTGCAACTCTTCCACCTGAAATTATTAACCTCTTGTTTCACTTCTTCGTAATTTCTCTCATTTCTTGTGTATTACAAAGCATGAGATAGAGCGGAGAAGGAAATAGAATAGTTGACCTGTGCACTTCTTTTCTTTAGCTCCATTTCTATCATTTGCCTGTTCCGCTCTGTCTCTCGATGCTGATATTGCTCCCTCCTGAGCCGCTGCTCAAGTTCATCAAATTTCCTTGCATAATATACCCCCTGCTCTTTGAAACGCTCTGCCATATTCTTCGCCTGGGCTACCGCATTCGACAGATCATTCAGCGTCTGCATCAGTTCGTCTGCCTACATTCACAGTTAAATGCGTTACTTCGGGCAAACTTAACTAATATCTAGGAAAAATCTACTTGGATGCAAAAATATGATTTTCCTCAGCACGGACAGCTCCTTCTTTAGAATGTGATCAAGCTCCTTACCTCTGGCTTTCTCTTCTGTCAGCTGTTCTTTCACCTCCTTCACACTTCTTCACCAGTGAAATGATAAATAAAAAATTCCAAAGGATTCCAAGACCATGTGGATTGTACAAGCAACATGGAATATATCGCCAAATTTTTCTTAGGGACAAATTCATTTGTGAAATTTACATTAGGCATCCTACAAAAGTAGAGGCATATCCTTTTGTTCGGAAAATCTTCTTACCAGTATGGGTGCCCCTGCTTCCAGCGTCTCCTCACCAGGCAACCTGTGATCATCTATCCCTGAGCGTGATTCATATCCCCTATGAGAGAGAGAGAGAGAAAACTCAATCCTATTGCTTTTAGTCGTTTCCCCACAACGAAGGTAGCGCATCGGCAAAGCTTCATGTGGGACTACCCTTACAAAAAATGTTTACATGAGATAAAATTGGGACGGTGAAACTGAGGTAAAAAGAACCCGTGTTTTCCCCTTTCTTTATCTGTCAGAAGACCCTTCATGTAAAAATTAGGGGGAAAAGCGGATAAATATAGGTGAACGAGGGGGTAACGTTTTGTATGGTTATCGAACGTGTGTCCGAGTTCGCATCACCTACTGTCAACCCTTGACATAGCGCCACCCGTTATAGCGTCACTCTCGCAAGTCATCATCCTCCAATACCTCAATTGCACAAACGTGTATTATTCAACATAAGTCTCACTCGATATTGCGCCGAGCAGCACAGTGTGCCACAATCATCATAACGGATGCAAAATTTAATTTTGCCAGCAACTCCCTTCGGTCGCATAATAACAAGATTGTTTCGGATGACTCAGCGTTAGAATTGACCACCAGGCATTAGACAGGCTGTGTGCAGGGTCGCATAATCCTGTTTCTTCCTTTTTGAGGATGGAAACGTCTCTTATAGATTGTCCACAGCTTCTCCAGACAATATTTCAAGTTTGTTGAGGGAGGATGAGGATAGTTAGATAAAGAAAGGATAAGATCAATGAAAATTTTGAAGCGTGTCGTTAGAAGGAGGCACATATGGTCGAATGTAAAAAAATATATATGTTTGCAAACTTTTTTTTTGGTTGGACAGTGAAGAGAGAGACAGAGGCTGTCAAGGAGCTGTTCTCATTGAAAATAAAAATAATTGGATTTCATCATGGATAGACTCATTTTTCGAAGCCGTATAGTTTGTGTTCTATGTGTGGGGATGAATTTAAGTGATTTTTGTGCATACTTGATATAGGTTAATTATTTTCCAATTTTACAGCCATGCGTTTCGATGTAGCGCCACCCTCGATATAGTGCCAAAATCGAAGAAGACTAACAGTAGTGGCATATCGAGAATTGACTGCATATCATTCAATGAAAATTTCCCACCGAGAGAAAGGAAAACCAAATCGCAGATTTGCATACAATGCATGAGATCATTGTTAGTAGGTGAATTCACACAACCACAGTGGTGCAACCAAATGGAAACTCCATTAAGTACTGCAATAAATTACCTTTTTCACTTTTAAATGCTACTTCTGATTCAATTTTCTGGAATGTGAAAGTAAAAGAATTATTTCGTATTTCCACAAGTAGAGACCTGAAATTTAGACACCTTAATTGGGGAGCTACAATATTGTGTCAAACATAGTAAACCTTGACGAGAGTGCCAATGGCGAGCTACATCTCCTGTCAAACCTTTGACATCTCTGACTTCACCGCTTCTTTTTCAAAAAAAAAAATTAGAATGAAAACGGGAATTAGAATACTTTTCAGGATTATTTCGTGTGGCTTTCCCTACTTCCAGATAATGCATTCTTACGTAACTCGTGAGTGATTTTCACATGAATGTACTTCTTGTATTTGGTATTGGGTTATGGGAGCTCACCCTTCCCGAGTTCCTTCGAAAGCTTGACCATGACGATTGGTTGTTGAGGACTGATCACGGTTCAAAATTGCCATGCAACCTGGTGAAAATCAAGAAGATTCTTTCTCATTGAAATATCACTGACATGTTTTATTCATAAAATGTGGCTGTAACATGTAGCATGAAGCCTTTATGAAAAGTGGGGCAACAAGAATTGTCCCACATTTGATTGACCTATATTTTCATTATTTATCATGGTAGAAAATAAAATTACATGTCATATGACAGACGAACTCAGTAATTTTTTTCATGAGAAACATGTTCAAATTGTTCAACATAGGAAACCATTTTTCTTTAAAGAAACCCACAGGGTTTACTTAAAGAAAATGGTTCAGCTTCCTTCATACAGAAGTATGAAAGAAGCTGAACTTTTTAAAATACCTTCTTTCTGTTTTGATAGTGCTTCCTGATGCGAAAAGACAATGAAGAAAGCAGAAAACAATGAAGTTGGTTGTGTGAATAACTCACGATTCTTCATTTTCCTGGCCAGTATCACCTGACCGCTGTCCCGGAGACACTTCAAGAACATCCGAAATGCAGCATCCCCTTTCCTCGGGAGGTGTTCCTCGAGGAACAATCTCTTTTCCTCGGACGACCTCTTTCTCACTTCGGCGTATTCGTTGCTTTCGATCATTCCGTTTTTCCTCATATGAGTCAAGACCGCATCATGATCTATATACTTCAAGTCTTCAGCGTGATCGGCGATTACCCGTGCGACCGTCTTCCCATCCACGTCGAAGTCTTCTGTGGATGACATCGCTCGAAAATTCGGGAAAGGGAGACTTATAACTAATATCTAGGAAAAATCTACTTGGATGCAAAAATATGATTTTCCTCAGCACGGACAGCTCCTTCTTTAGAATGTGATCAAGCTCCTTACCTCTGGCTTTCTCTTCTGTCAGCTGTTCTTTCAATTCCTTCACACTTCTTCACCAGTGAAATGATAAATAAAAAATTCCAAAGGATTTCAAGACCATGTGGATTGTACAAGCAACATGGAATATATCGCCAAATTTTTCTTAGGGACAAATTCATTTGTAAAATTTACATTAGGCATCCTACAAAAGTAGAGGCATATCCTTTGTTTGGAAAATCTTCTTACCAGTATGGGTGCCCCTGCTTCCAGCGTCTCCTCACCAGGCAACCTGTGATCATCTATCCCTGAGCGTGGTTCATATCCCCTAAGAGAGAGAGAGAGAAAACTCAATCCTATTGCTTTTAGTCGTTTTCCCACAACGAAGGTAGCGCATCGGCAAAGCTTCATGTGGGACTACCCTTACAAAAAATGTTTACATGAGATAAAATTGGGACGGTGAAACTGAGGTAAAAAGAACCGGTGTTTTCCCCTTTCTTTATCTGTCAGAAGACCCTTCATGTAAAAATTAGGGGGGAAAGCGGATAAATATTGGTGAACGAGAGGGTAACGTTTTGTATGGTTCTCGAACGTGTGTCCGAGTTCGTATCACCTACTGTCAACCCTTGACATAGCGCCACCCGTTATAGCGTCACTCTCGCAAGTCATCATCCTCCAATACCTTAATTGCACAAACGTGTATTATTCAACATAGGTCTCACTCGATATTGCGCCGAGCAGCACAGTGTGCCACAATCATCATACCGGATGCAAAATTTAATTTTGCCAGCAACTCCCTTCGGTCGCATAATAGCAAGATTGTTTCGGATGACTCAGCGTTAGAATTGACCACCAGGCATTAGACAGGCTGTGTGCAGGGTCGCCTAATCCTGTATCTTCCTTTTTGAGGATGGAAACGTCTCTTATAGATTATTCACAGCTTCTCCAGACAATATTTCAAGTTTGTTGAGGGAGGATGAGGATAGTTAGAAAAGAAAGGATAAGATCAAGGAAAATTTTGAAGTATGTCGTTAGAAGGAGGCGCATATGGTTGAATGTAAAAAAAAATATGTTTGCAAACTTTTTTTTTGGTTGGACAGTGAAGAGAGAGACAGAGGCTGTCCAGGAGCTGTTCTCACTGAAAATAAAAATAATTGGATTTCATCATGGATACACTAATTTTCGAAGCCGTACAGTTTGTGTTCTATTTGTGGGGATGAATTTAAGTGATTTTTGTGCATACTTGATATAGGTTAATTATTTTCCAAGTTTACAGCCATGCGTTTCGATGTAGCGCCACCCTCGATATAGTGCCAACATCGAAGAAGACTAACAGTAGTGGCATATCGAGAATTGACTGCATATCATTCAATGAAAATTTCCCACCGAGAGAAAGGAAAACCAAATCGCAGATTTGCATCCAATGCATGAGATCATTGTTAGTAGGTTAATTCACACAACCACAGTGGTGCAACCAAATGGAAACTCCATTAAGTACTGCAATAAATTACCTTTTTCACTTTTAAATGCTACTTCTGATTCAATTTTCTGAAATGTGAAAGTAAAAGAATTATTTCGTGGCTATTTCACACAAGTAGAGACCTGAAATTTAGACACCTTAATTGGGGAGCTACAATATTGTGTCAAACATAGTAAACCTTGACGAGAGTGCCAATGGCGAGCTACATCTCCTGTCAAACCTTTGACATCTCTGACTTCACCGCTTCTTTTTCACAAAAAAAATTAGAATGAAAACGGGAATTAGAATACTTTTCAGGATTATTTCGTGTGGCTTTCCTTACTTCCAGATAATGCATTCTTACGTAACTCGTGAGTGATTTTCACATGAATGCACTACTTGTATTTCATGTTGAGTTATGGGAGTTCACCTTTCCTGAGTTCCTTCGAAAACATGACGATTGGTTGAGGACTGATCACGGTTCAAAATTGCCATGCAACCTGGTGAAAATCAAGAAGATGCTATCTCATTGAAATATCACTGACATGTTTTATTCATAAAATGTGGTTGTAACATGTAGCATGAAGCCTTTACGTAAAGTGGGGCAACAAGAATTGTCCCACATTAGATTGACCCATATTTTCATTTTTTATAATGGTAGAAAATAAAATTACGTGTTATATGACAGACGAACTCAAAAAATTTTTTCACGAGAAGCATGTTCAAATTGTTCAACATAGGAAACGATTTTTCTTTAAAGAAACCCACAGGGTTTACTTAAAGAAAAATGGTTCAGCTTCCTTCATACAGAAGTATGAAGGAAGCTGAACTTTTTAAAATACCTTTTTTCTGTTTTGATAGTGTTTCTTGATGCGAAAAGACAATGAAGAAAGAAGAAAACAATGAAATTGATTATGTGAATAACTCACGATTCTTCATTTTTCTGGCCAGTATCACCTGGCCGCTGTCCCGGAGACACTTCAAGAACATCCGAAATGCAGCATCACCTTTCCTCGGGAGTTGTTCCTCGAGGAACAATCTTTTTTCCTCGGACGACCTCTTTCTCACTTCGGCGTATTCGTTGCTTTCGATCATTCCGTTTTTCCTCATATGAGTCATGACCGCATCATGATCTATATACTTCAAGTCTTCAGCGTGATCGGCGATTACCCGTGCGACCGTCTTCCCATCCACGTCGAAGTCTTCTGTGGATGACATCGCTCGAAAATTCGGGAAAGGGAGACTTCATCGAAGCTGTTTGTGACCCCTAATTCGAAATCATCATGTATTTTTACTTTAATTTTCATAAAGCTAGACACACCAATAAACTAGATATTCGGAAATGTTGCATTAATGTTCCATTTAAGTGCTAAGTCTTAGGCTACCTTCACTGGTAATATGAGTTATACCAATTTCTCTTTCACCCCCACACTTAATCCTCAAAATCTCATGTTGAACTCTGGCTATCCATGGAGGATGAACCTACAGGTATGTTGGAGAACCAAGCTATCATGCATGGTAATCGGAATCTGAATTCGGGCTGAATATATACGTCTCAGGAGTGGGTTGGATATTCAGATAGACTTTTGGCCTAACTTTAAGAAACTCCTAATTTTTCCAAGTCTATCCTGTTTCTTCTTTGAAGAGCGTAATTGAAGCGCCATCTCTCGTTTAAAAAAAGTTTAAAAAATCATGCTACTGTGTTTGATATCGAGATCCTTTGAGAGTTACACATACTCTTTTGGCATTAGAGGTGCAGCAGGGCAGAGAATGTTCACTGGTCAACATGATCATCGACAGCAAAATATGATCATTGACAGCAATATTAAAAAAACGCGTACATGATCGCCGAGCCCCACAAGTCAGACACCAATGTCAAGACCGTATGTCGTCATTATTTGCAGCACTACTGCTATGGTATAACTCATTGCGAAACTATGGCCATGGTCTTGGAACCAAATGAAAAGCCTGTTCATGTTATGTTAAATGTGTAACATTTCAAAATTATTCCCCCCTTGATTCCTGCGATCCTGAAGTACCGCAGTAACAACTATTTTCTGTTACTGCCTGCGGGAGGATATTTAAGACCCCCTGAAAAAAATTAAATTAACTGCAAATGAAGTAGGACTTTTCTTATTTTCTTAAATGTTGCATGAATTGCTCCCAAATACTTTTTCAGGGTTGGGGTTGATAAGAAAAAATATTGTGAATAAAAAAGCAAGATCTTGTCAAGATGACAATGATGTCATAGA